AGATTTATGGGAGGTTCGAGATGCAAATGAACCTCTGTAGAGTCTGAACAGATTGTTGGACATTGACAGTGTCTGTACTGACTCCTCCCTCAATGGGTCAGCCAGATAGCCCACAACAGGGATACCCTGAGAGTGAAACAGAACACGCACAGGGGGCCAACACTTTGGTAAAGACATTGGGTGCAGTGGATATACCAAAAGGAGGAGGGGGGGTGGGGGAAGCTGAGCGAATTCCTGAAGCAATAACTGACTGGCAGATTCCATGCACTGATTTTGAACTTGAAGGAAGGTGTTGAAAACCTCCAGATCAAAAATAGGAATACCCTTTTAGGGTTTTGGAACTGTGAATAGGTTTGAGAAAAACCTTGGAGCCTCTCCTTTTCTGGGACAGAGGCTACTAACACTAGTGAGAGGAGCAGCTCCAGAGCAACGTGGAGATCTGCTAGTCTTTGTAAGTATGTTGGCAGGTTTGACAGCATGAAGCAGGACAGAGGTAGAGAAAATTCTCGTTTGAAGCTCCTGGATACCACACAGTCTGGACCCATAAGTGTGAAATGTCCTGAGAACACGTGGCCGCAAACACAGACAGGCAGGTGGACTTGCTTTCTGGCTTGGAGGATTTGGGAGCCCAGGGTTTATGACAGAACTGACTCCAAGGCTTAAGGCATGGATTTGGAGCCCTGTGAAATACAAAAATGAGCTGTCCTCATTTCTAAAGTTAAGTTTCCCTGACTGAGGTTTTACTTTCTTTCCTGGGGGAGGAAAGGGATACAAAGAGCATAAGCAGAAGCAGAAAACATTTCCTCAAAAATATATTGCTGGCCAAAACACTTTGGAGTATAGATGTTCTCTGGACCAGGCCAAGCACTGTACAAGACAGGTTGTAACAAATACACTGGAAAAGTTTTAAACAGGTTGGGAGTTCTTGAGAAAACCTATGCTGGTAACCTTGGGTATGTCTGATGCAGGTTGCACTAGGTCCATGGGCATACTTTGTCAATAGGGACAGAAATGGTATACCGTAAGTTTGAGTTAGGTCAGCAAACACACTCCTTTATTAAGCCAAACACAGACAAATTACCTTTCTTCTCATCCTCAGCCGACTGTGCAGTTGCAGCTACTGTGAAATCAGAAGTTGACTCTTGAGAAGAGGGCTTGGACATATGCTTGTAGCCCCTGCATTCTGATTCAACTAACATGGCTCAAATCTTCCCCATAAAGTCAGATTAAGCAGCAAAGAATGCTTCCCTGGATAATACAGGAGGAAGCAACCCCAGAAGGGGTTACCAATAACGGAGGAAAGCTGGGACTCAGTCAGGGAACTTATCAGGACTGTCCGTAAGCTTGCCCCTGGACAGTTAGTGGCTCATAAGCAAACATGGTCCACAGGACTGGAGCCTTTGCACTTATAATGTATCATACTACTATATGCAATTGAGGGGTTCCCAAAGGGGAACTCACAAGCACCTACAGGCGGTGGAAAGGTCCATTCTCCTAGACAGTAGGAAAAAAAACAAACAAACATGGAGGCATGACAAAAAATAGGAGGAATTATACTAGGCTGTCCTTACAGCTTTAGTTTGCTAGTGACCAATCTCCTGAAGGCAGCAGTATAACTCAATGGTCTGAATTACTGTCCTTTGTCTTGTATTGCACAATTAAGAAACATTTTAAAATATAAAATAATGCCTAAGCATAGTTGTTAGAACTAGTATGGCATCAACACTGGGACTGATACAATATACTTTAAGGACTTCATCTGACAAGCGGATTTAAACGCAACTAAAATCAACCAAGATACACTTACAAGGTTACTCACAAAAGGGTGAAGAGTTTGGAGGTGGCATGAGAAGTGAACAATCTGGGACAACATAGCTGAACTGGAAAGTGAGCTGAATTGGAGGATTTTTCCAAATCAGCTGTTTGGCCTAGATTGTTCACCTCTCCTGCCTTTTGTGAATAACCACGATAGTATTTGAGGTCAATCTTTTGTTAACCAGTATATCTACTTCAGCATATTGCTTTTTGCTGGTTAGCTTAGCCTTTACAAAGCCTCATAGTTGACCCTGCTTGTGTTTACTTCCAATAAACTGTTTAAAGAGGCCAATGTAGCCTCGGTTTATCTATTATCCTTATAAAGTGTATGTCCAGCCAAAAAAACTTTTCTTCTTTCTTGGAGACAGTGGGGAAAAAATTGAAACCTATTTTTTAATTTAAAAAAAAAAAAAAAAAAATAAGTGCCATCTGTCCCTGTTGCAAATTTTACCTCACATCCGTCTGGTAAAACCATTTGTTGCTGGAGCAGGAAGTGTGGTGTAATATATCTGATGAAAATTCCAAAGACCTGTAGCACTCCTTACCGGAATTCCCAAGTGTATGAAGAGGGTACGCGCAGTGACTGCGGATGGCGCCGCATTCAGTAGAATCAAGTATAGGAATGTCACCAGCACGACAACGACTTAAGCGTCAGTGAAAATCTATTTATTGATGTTCAATCATTACCTATTAGTTACCTGTTCGTAATGATTGAACATCAATAAATGGATTTTCACTGACGCTTAAGTCGTTGTCGTGCTGGTGACATTCCTATACAGGTGAAACTCAATTACAATATCGTGCAAAAGTTCATTTCACTAATGCAACTTAAAAAGGTGAAACTAATATATGAGATAGACTCATTACATGCAAAGCAAGATAGTTCAAGCCATGATGTCATAATTGTGATTATGGCTTACAGCTCATAAAAACCCCAAATCCACAATCTCAGAAAATTAGAATATTGTGAAAAGGTGCAATATTCTAGGCTCAAAGTGTCCCACTCTAATCAGCTAATTAAACCATAACACCTGCAAAGGGTTCCTGAGCCTTTAAAAGGTCTCTCAGTCTGGTTCAGTAGGAATCACAATCATGGTAAAAGACTGCTGACCTGACAGTTGTGCAGAAAACCATCATTGACACCCTCAAAAAGAGGTAATTGCAAAAGAAGTTGGATGTTCCCAAAGTGCGGTTTCAAAGCACATTAATAGAAAGTTATGTGGAAGGGAAAAGTGTGGAAGAAAAAGGTGCACAAGCAGCAGGGATGACCGCAGCCTGGAGAGGATTGTCAGGAAAAGGCCATTCAAAAGTGTTGGGGACTTTCACAAGGAGTGGACTGAGGCTGGAGTCAGTGCATCAAGAGCCACCACACACAGACGGATCCTGGACATGGGCTTCAAATGTCGTATTCCTCTTGTCAAGCCACTCCTGAACAACAAACAACGTCAGAAGCGTCTTACCTGGGCTAAAGAAAAACAGACCTGGTCTGTTGCTCAGTGGTCCAAAGTCCTCTTTTCTGATGAGAGCAAATTTTGCATCTCATTTGGAAACCAAGGACCCAGAGTATGGAGGAAGAATGGAGAGGCACACACTGCAAGATGCTTGAAGTCCAGTGTGAAGTTTCCACAGTCTGTGTTGATTTGGGGAGCCATGTCATCTGCTGGTGTTGGTCCACTGTGCTTCATTAAGTCCAGGGTCAACGCAGCAGTCTACCAGGAGATTTTGGAGCACTTCATGCTTCCTTCCGCAGACGAGCTCTATGGGGATGCCGACTTCATTTTCCAGCAGGACTTGGCACCTGCCCACACTGCCAAAAGCACCAAAACCTGGTTCAATGATCGTGGCATTACTGTGCTTGAATGGCCAGCAAACTTGCCTGACCTGAACCCCATAGAGAATCTATGGGGCATTGCCAAGAGAACGATGAGAGACATGAGACCGAACAATGCAGAAGAGCTGAAGGCCGCTATTGAAGCATACTGGCCTTCCATAACACCTCAGCAGTGCCACAGGCTGATTGCCACGGCGCATTGAGGCAGTAATTGCTGCAAAAGGGGCCCAAACCAAGTACAGAGTACATATGCATGCTTATACTTTGCAGAGGTCCGATAATTGTTCCATGTACAATCCTTGTTTTATTGATTGCATGTAATATTCTAATTTTCTGAGATTGTGGATTTGGGGTTTTCATGAGCTGTAAGCCATCATTATCACAATTATGACAAATCACGGCTTGAACTATCTTGCTTTGCATGTAATGAGTCGATCTCATATATTAGTTTCACCTTTTAAGTTGCATTAGTGAAATAAATGAACTTTTGCACGATATTCTAATTATTCGAGTTTCACCTGTATCTAATGAAGCCCCGGTTAGCAGTTGTAACTGTATTCCAACCAAGGAAAAACTAATTTTGCTGAACATACACTGAAAACAATGGATGGAGTCTGCCAAGAGTCATACACACAAGACCGATTTATCAATGATTTGCGTTACCAAAAGGCACTGCTGCCACCATTATTATTTCCACAAAGCAATTTCAAAAGCAATTACAAGCAAATATGTACCCTACAAATTACATTAAATGTGTTGGCCAAAAGCCAAATACTGAAGAGGTTAAACCCCTGGGCAGCATATGATTTACACGCCAGTAATATTAGTTCAGCTTTATCACACCAGAACTAGTGCATGGCCTTGGAGTCAGGGGTCAGAAAGTTTCATTTTAGGCTTCCCAACCAGGTTTTCTGATTTTTTGTCAGACATTCCAAGATTACATTTACAATTCTTACACCTACACTGAACTACGCCATGTATAGGCCATCCAGACCTTCAGGGCCTGCAGATAAACACGTTGATGGTCTCTGTATATTGTACAACTCAAAGGTTACACAGTTACCTGCACATCTATATCAGTAAGATGTGACTGGATCAATTACAAGATAGGCAGTCTTCAGTCTAATTTGGTCACCCAATTTGTGCAAGTATGGCCCTACCATACATTTCTGAAAATCTGACACTGCTTTTTTTGACTGAACTGCATTATGGTATAAGAAGTTTATGCTGTTTAATGCAACCATTTTTTTCCCCCCCAAAACCAAGACACAGACTGATTAACACATATGGCAGCAAATTTAAATGTTCAGTGACAACAGGTCAAAATAATAATCTGAATAACAAGACTCACAACTGTATTCTTCTCTATATTTGAAAGTAAATGAAGTCATACAATTCACCACCCTCTTTCTGTAAAAGAGAAACAATGGCAATGGGTCAGGTCACTATTGGGTTCAGCCCACACCAATTTTAAATCCAACCAATTGAACTCCGTCAAGATGGCACACACCAGTATAACAGCAGTTTGACCAATCACATCCCAGTCTTGGCTTTAGGAGAGGGGGATACATCCACTTAAAAAAAAAAAGGTACTTAAAACCTGAGACAGGCATTTATGAAGTCCTGCTCTTTAGGGCTATCTGAATGTATTTTCCCAAACTAAATTTGCAGGCATTTAAAATAAAAAAAATAAGAAAAAATAAGGTGGGTGACACCATCTGGTGACCCACAGATGCACATTTTCCTTTATAGTAATCTAAAGGCTTTTGTTTTAGTACAATATGCCTCAAAGTTCACCATTTAGCTTTGAAGAATATAATATTCCAGCAAAGTCCGAGGCATGATCCACTTGGCAGGGCGCTGATAAGAGTGACAATACTACTTGAAAATGTAATGGATCACAGCAGTCAGAGTTGTTAATTGTCGCTTTGCTTTTCCTTTGAGTTCAAGTAGCACACAACGTTGGACTGCTGAGCTCATGCACACAGCTACCAAAATGGAATGTGGGGTATACGCTATGCACATTAGGGTTCAGAAATGATCAGGAAAAAAATAAAAATAAAGAAAAAAAAAATCAAAACCTAAAGGGTGATATATCAATGCTATTCATAAAAACCTTGTTTAGTAATAAAAAAAAATTGCTTTGTTTAAATATGAATATTAAAGTCTGCTTCTCGTGGTTAGGAAAAAGTCTTTGTATTTGTTTCACTTTTGAAAAGCAGATTTTCTTCTACTACAACTCCATGTCCTGGGCTTCATCTTCAGAGAAGTCAGACATTGAGCTTTCAGACGAGCTGTCACCAGTACGCTCTTCTTGCTCTTTGAGCGCCTCTTCTGTTGCATATTTCTGGATGTATTCTAGAATAGCAAAAAAGAAAAATGTTAAAAATGTTAAAATGGTAATTGCAGGATTTTTTTTCTCCCTGCACTGCATCCACACCCCCCCCCCTTAAAAAAGCAGCGTCCGTCTGCTCCAGTTGCCAATCAGACAACCAATCAGCTTTTAATTTACAAAGCTTCACTGAACGAACTAAAGAGGTTAATTGGTTGCTCTAGATTCTGCTAGTTTCATCTTTTATGAACGCCCCCAATATCCTTTAACCATACTTCCCGATAGTTGGAGATTGAAGAACTGACACCTTTTCACACAACTGTAGGTAAAGGACACACCTCGATTGATCTGTTAAACCCAATGCCACTTTGATCACTACTTTTCTTTTACACTGATGTACTATGATTCTCAAATCATTTTGAATGGGCTGTCCATACACCACATGGACTTTTTTTTTTTTCATTTTTAACCCCTTCATGACCGAGTCCATTTTTTTGCACCCATGTTATATTTCAAATTTTTGGCCTGAAAATTACTTAAGCCCCCAAACATTATATATTTTCTGAAAGCCAAGACCCTATAGAATAAAATGGTGGCAGTTGCAAATTTTTATGTTGCACGATACTTACTTGCACGCAACTACTTCGCAAACCCCCAAATTTAGTGAAAAATTTACTTAAATGCCCCAAAGCCCATCAAAATACCCATTTTTAAAAATAAAATATAAAAAGATAAGGTTACAACCAGTAAATAGATACCCAACATGCCCAGGTTAAAGATTGTGTGCGTCCGTTGAACGGCGCCAAACTTCAGTACCCCAAAGTCCAAAAGCCCCCACAGGTCATCAATTTAGAAATACCCCAAAATACTGTCCCTAGAGTTATTGCTCTCACTCCGGTGTGTGCTGTGATACCCACCCAACATGTGTAGCGCGTTAGTCGCTTTCATACGTAGGTGCACCCGACGAGTGTTTAAGTGGCGACACTCGTGCTCGCGGGACTTTTAAAAAAAATGTACATTATTTTTAGATTTCATGTAATGTTAATTTTTAAAAAACTTTTTTTTTTTAACTTTAATTGCTATCACAAAGTGGGGCTTACAAGGGCGATAACAGATTGGCTGAAAGTGCAAGACAAAAATTGCTAGCTGTAAAGTAACACCTCACAGTTGCTGAATTACTTCAATGTGAATCCTACCAACCAGCAAACAAGGATTATTCAACTCTGCTTTAATCTGGCCAAAAGGCAGACCCGCAGGCTGAATGAGGAAAAAAACCCACAATCACTAAGGTCTAAGGCAATGAGGAAAAAAACCACACTCGCATGGTCTAAGGCACATGTGTCAAACTCAAGGCCCAGGGGCCGAATCAAGCCCACCAGGCCATTTCCTAGACTTCTACTTTCAGATCTAGGTATTAAGTTATTACTAAAACCAGTGATAATCGAATGCAGAGGCAATGATGAAGATTAGATACATTTATATAATCTTACAGATACCTTTGAGGGCAACCATAATGTTAATGCAGCCCTTGATTAAATTGAGTTCATCGCCCCTGGCTAAGGTATCTGGAAAAATTACTTGCCTTATCCCCACTCCTGCAGGTTCCCTCCAGGCTACAAGACCAGAACCCACAGTCTCTTCTCCCCAACACTTCAGCATTCAGAGGCCTGCTGATAAAGTACAGTGCAAGGCCCATAGCTCTACAATTTGTTAAGATGCAGAGGGACAGTCACAATCTGGAGTGTAGAGTAGACTAGGTGAGCACCAACTGCTGGGGAAGATGGAAGCAGATATGGAAAACTGCTTTACCAGATACCCTAGACCTAACTACGCATTTAAGCCTTGCGGTGCAGAGCCAGCCCCACTGCCAGGGAAGTTTTATGGCGAGCGGCTATAAGCTTGACCCATTTAACCCCATACACAAAAAAAAAAAATCTACTGAAGATTTGGCAGATAACCCCATGCTGATTAGTAGGGATGCACCAATACCGATACTAGGCATTTTTACGAGTAATTGTAAAAAATGTCCGATACTAAACGCCAACACTGGCGCTTTAAATTTTTTAATAGATTCAGCTGTCTGAGGTCCCGTGCTTCCTGGGGACCTCAGGCAGGCTTGTGGGGACCTCGCAGCGACTGTCTTTGAAAGCGCTGGTCCGAGACTACATCTCCTTCCCGCAGAGCCCAGCACAGTCCTGGAGAGCCCAGCACAGCCCTGGTCAGACCCCGTTAGAGCCTCTTGACACCACACAGCCCTGGTGAGCAACACAAGAGTATGTAGCTTCATATTCTGCATTGCCGAGATTTGTAGTCATCTATAGCTGGTGGTATCCTGCATTGCTGGGATTTGTAGTACTCTATAGCTGGTGCCTTTCTGCATTGCGGTTTATTGGTTTGCGGGTATTTGTAGTCCTCTGTAGCTGGTATTCTACATTGCTGTATAATGTATTCCTGGGATTTGTTGTCCCTCTACAGCCTGGAGTCAGTAGCAGAACTACCAGGGTCACAGCAGTTGCAGTTGTGACTGGGCCCTGGTGCTTCACCTCTGTCCTAAAATCATTAGTCTGTATTAGAAGAAATGTCACTTTATAAAAAGTTGGTATCGGTGAGTACTTGAACAATACTTGGTCTTGAAAAAAAAATGGTATGGGTACATGCCTACTGATTAGTACACACCTATACCAGTTTTTAGACCTCAACACAAATCAGGTTGTGAGATAGTGAATGAAAGATGAATCTGTGACACCCAACTCTTCCTCAGCCTGCTTGGCTTGTTTTGTCATGGTAACAGGCAAACAATTGGAAAACACAGAACAGTAGGCCTTGTATATGATGCTTATATATTACACTAAACCCTTCATTATTTGAAAAGCTAAGCACAGTGTCATCCATCTGTACCCTCTCCCTTCACAGCATTTTGTTTGCCACTAAATATGGTCTGCATTAGGAAAATGTACAGAACCAACCGGTACAACAAGATTGCCCACTGAAGCCATGACTCACAACTTGGTTGACTGTGCATGCTTCCAGAGTGCTCCTAACCTGACGTTACATTTTTTTCCATGCACGGTTCAATTGTAATTTTGTATGCATTCACAAATACCTGTAAATACTGGGAGCCGATTATTTTGTTTGTATATAGCTCAATACTTCTCCACTGCCTCGGCGTGTAGCACAATATTGTTCAATTCCTTTAAACTATTTTGTATTATTCCAAGTTCTCTCATTTTAAATTTGCTATTTCCTTTTGATAGTTTGAGCCATTTACATCAGGACTGTATTGTGCAAGTAGCCACTGCTGAACTTAAAAAGTTCTCACCTTTAATTTTTTGTTTGTACTCCTCTGGTCGATGGAGATACATAGCTGCTGCATCTCCATTAAGTGGATCTATTGGGTTTGGATAGGCCAGCAGCTGGGGCAGAAAAGACTCAAATATATTGGTGAGATCTGCAAAAAAGAAAAAGTTGCATGTTAAGTTTCGTACACAAAAACGTTTTCCCAGTAGCTGCACAGGAGAATCCTAATTAGAGAATATGATTTCATATTTTGGGAGAAGCGATTTTTTTGGTGTACACTAATGGGCAAAGGACTTGTGTTGGTTATGCACTCTAACTGATTTACCACTAGGATTAAGTACTAGGCTTTCCATCTCCCCTTCCTGTACCACCCCTCTTTTCAGCTTCCTTTCTTGATCAGGAGCATCATCAGACCTAGTAACCTACCCGTTTGCATCACTGGCTATAGTCCCCCTCCCACCCAAAGTGATCCTGTGAGTAGAAATGTGAGCTGACATCAACTTATTTATTGTTAAGTGCAGGCTCTGGGCTGCCATCCTGATCCTGGCTTTCCTACTTTATGAGGCACTGACCTGGAATGTGCATGCCACCAATGAAGTCTGCATGCTTGTTCCATGCAAGAGATTTCACTACTTAGCAAAGCCAGGAACAGGGTGACAGCTCTGGATCCTTATTCCATACTCTTATATTCGAGTACCAGTGCAGATTAATATTCTAGACCTATCTTTGTAGAATGCTTTACCAAGCTTGCTCATGTATGCATTAATGTTACTTTATGGGAAGGGGTTTACAATTTCACATTATATATGCCAGAAATGGGTTCCTCTAGATGCAATAATGAAACTCTAGCAGGAGGTAAGATGGACAGACATAGGACCTAAAGCACATTTGTTTTTCAGACATTCCTTTTAAATTTAGAAAGCAACTTTATAAAAAATTCTTAAGTTTAATACAGATTACAATGTTTATACGGATGCACCGATACCGGTTTTTCGGTATCGAGTGCGAGTACCGATATTTACATTTCCGTACTCGCAGATACCGAAGATACTGGTACCTCCGGTAGCATACAGCCGGCTTTCCGGGCAATCAGGAAGCCAGGCGGCGTGTCATTACCCACCGCCCAGCTTCTTGATTGCCCAGGAAATCGACTCCATTCGGTTTGGCCAGGCTCGATGCTAATTGGCCGGGAAGCCGGCTTCCCAGCCAATCGGCATCAAGGCCAGCCAAACAGATCTGACAATATGATGACACGACCCCCACCCTGCAGACACCTCAGTCCCCTCACATAGATGCTTAGTAGCAGTCATTACCGTACCAGTCCCACCATATCATCAAATATGTTTGGCCGGCTCAACACTGATTGGCTGGGAAGCCGGCTTACCGGCCAAATCAGCATTGAGCCGGCCAAACCGCATGGAGCCAGCTTCCCGGCACCATGTTCCCTCGTAGCACTGGAAGTTCCAGTATCGGGAAAGGTATCAGAGCATTTTGGCGAGTACGAGTGCTCGCCCAAATACTCAGTATCAGCACCGATAGCGATACTAGTATCGGTGCATCCCAATTGATGTAGTTTAAAAATTGAAGTGAAATTGGGGAAAAAATAAAATAAGCATTGTATGTACAGTTCCTTCCCAAGCTGCAGCACACAGTACTACTGTAGGCTAGTTGACACCATAGAGAATAATGGTCCGTCCATAGATCAGTACAAAGACAAATCTTCAAGTAGCCCATTATGGCCTATGAAGCACACTAGCACATGCTAACTACACCACTCTGCTAGCTAGGTAGACTTTCTGTAAAGAATGCCACAGCACTGTAGTCTTATTAGCACCTAAAAGACTAAAGAAAAGGATCTGAGGTCTGTTACTTATGTGGTGGGAAGTGTAAAAGGGAGGCACATGGAATAACGTTTTTTGTCATTTCTGTTCCACTTTAAATGAATACTCCTTATAACTACCTATTATCCTGTATAGGAGCTAGTAGACTTTAGTTAAATGCTACACCTTAAGCTCTGTTACAGGTAAACACATTCACATTCTATGGTCTTAGAAAATGGAAAACACAAAGAATTTAAGAGTAACAACAACCTAGGACTATGGGTGATTCTGCTACAAAGGCAAGGACTTTAAAAAGTACAACTATTCAAAAGGTAATTAAGAATTATATGCAGCACCAAATCCAAATCATCAAGCCTCCTGAGCCATCAAAAGAGGTTCTGAACAAATAAATCACCTAATCCCCTAGAAGGAAACTAATATGCTATTTGCATAAGCAACAGACCCTGATGGGAATAGGACACTCTTAAAGAGGTTTATTGCTCAAGAACATAAACAGCAAACAGGTCCAGAAGACCCAAAAAACAGCCAATTCAGAGAAGGTTATCCCCCAGTAGGAATGTAAGCTCACCAATAATGAAAAGGAACTTTTATGAAGAAAAATGATGAGCTTTATCACATACGCCATTCACCAGCTCCAAGTATGCCCATGCTAAACCTGCTTGGCTTTGCTAGCGCTTCCATTGGCAGGGGCCTCAGGGTTGCTCAACACAGCTAAATGATAAGGATTAATGCAAGGAAACCAGAACAATCCGCAGAGTGGTGGGATCCAACTTGAAACCTAAAAATCTATATGAAATAGGCAGCCACAAGCCCAATTCCAATATGATAGCAATAGGTGAATCAGTGTAGATTACCCCTTTGCCCTCCTTATTTTGCATTTCAAAGTAAGGTTCTCAGATTCCATGCAGCAGACACTAAATGTGTATAAGGGGATTTACTGTTACCGCACCTTATCAAGCTCACAACTCTTAGAAATCCATTTACATAGGCGGCCAACATGCTTTATTTGGTGTGCTTTGTAAAGTTAGCCATACTTATCAAAATTCCCTCAATGTACACACACACGTCAGTGGAGCTGTCCTATAATATACCTGGTGTACCATCTTGGGCCCAGTTGGGTATCCGTTTTGTTTTATTGAACATGACCCCACTTGTATAAAGTGACACGTGTACACTTTATTTTATGATAAATTCCACAATAAGAAAACTCACCATAAAGAGCTGTCCAGGTTTGGTTGATGACATCTAGACACACTGTACCTGACCTGTGGAGAGACAGGTCCAATTTAAAGCAGACTGACACCAACAATTCCTCTTTCACAATCAACGCCCAATAAATTATATATACTCCGGCACCAATTGGAATTTGACAAAATATTGTGTTCAGGCATATTAAATTGTACATTGTAAAATGCCAAGAGCTCTCTCGTAGCACAGAATCTAATATTTCCTTATCTTGTCTTACCAGCTGTGCTTTAACCAGATATATAATTCCTAGAATTTACAGAATATTGCACTATTGCTCTTCAATCTGTTGTGATCAAGGCATTATCAGTGAGACTCAAATTTACAGCAATATACGAAGGTTAGACTTACGCTTCATCGATATTGGGATGAAATATTTTGTTCATAAATCCTACAAGTAAGAGCAAACATCTATTAGAAAACAGCCTTTTGTGTCCAATAACATGCATTAGATCAGCATATTACTCACTGTGGGTACTCAAACCCACAAGGAGTCTCACCACACATGAAAAATTATCACAATTTTATTGTACTCCTAAATTAAACCAAAATATGACAAACATGACATATATCCCTCTCCATAAAAACATTTATGAAACCACTATGAACCACTGTGGAGCCACTATGAACCATCCCGTAATTTCTAATATTTCCAGGATGCCATGTATAATTTGTATATGTTTAGGTTGAGAGTTGCCTCCAGTCCAGGATCATGCATTGCTGGTGCTGTACAGGATGCGTAGAAGTTTAATACATTTTTGTAATCTGGAGTGCAGCAAAACATTTTTAATTTGAGAAAATGGAGTCTTTAAAACCAGTAAGGGTTTTTTGCCATCATGTCTCCATTGAGGCCATTTTTTGCTTCCAGTTGTAATCACACCCCTTAGGGACCTCTGTTGATTAGGTTAAAGTGACACAAAATTCAAGAGCCAAATCTTAATGCATTCAAGTGCCCGTTATCAAAAATGTACATTATTTGTGTATCACTTGGCTGTAGATCCTCTAATCATCTCTGAATTGGTGCCGGCACTGTCCTTCCTTCTGGAGGGTGGCTACTTTTGTTCCCCATGGTCCCTTTGGAGGTTGTAAAGTAGCTATCTCCTGTGATGGACTACAATCTCACGTAAGTTTGAGATTGTAGTCCATTACGGGAGCAAGCTTGGAGCGGTGACTACTTTACAACACACACAGGGACCATGGGGAACAAAAGTAGCCACCCTCTAGGACAGTGTCAGTATGAATTCAGAGCCGATTTCAGGATCTACAGCTGAGTGATATGCAAATAAGATACATTTTTATTAATAATGAAGGTACTTGAATGTATTTTTAAGATTAAACCCCTGAGTTTTGGGTCACTTCTATTTGGAGTGACAGCATACACCAGGCACGCTTATCCTGTGCAGGGAGCGATAGAGGGAGGTATAGTAGCTCACTATTACTTCTCCTCTCTATCCCGCAATCAAGTAGTGATTAGGCAACTTCTACTAGCTCAGTCTAATTCTAGTAAGAGTCTGTACAGACGCTTATCAGGAGGGACCAAGCCTGATGTGCAGATCTGTGCCTGGTCAGACCAGACACACATCCGAGTCTAATATCTGCGCTAAATTGGAGGAGCAAATCATCTATACTTTGTTATGCAGCCCTCCATATGTAAGGACGCACCTCCCTGCCCATTTTGAACATTTTGTAAGATCCTGAATTCATATAAAACACAAAACATTAAAAACACTCAAATATTAACATAAAACAGACCAATAACGGTTAGGTCTAGGTTAATTCAATGCAGTTCAGCCACCTGTAAACACGCTGCTTTCTACTGCCATCAGCGTTGGAGCCCAAATGAATACAAATATGCCATTTGCTCTATAAATTAAGCAGATACACAAATCACACAAGCACCTTTAGCAGTTTTTTCCCTTTTCTGTTCTACATAGCTGCATGTGGCTTTCCCGCAGCCTCTGTACCACAATAGTCAGCAAGCTGACAAAATCAACAATGCTGCCCAGTCATACGTCTTCTATTTAAACCGTTCAGTCACAAAGCCAGGAAAAGCTTAGCATTACCAACCTATAGAAGGAGATTTGAAAGGATATTTATCAGGAAGGTCCACTCTAACTTTCCACACGCCACCTTCATATGGTGCTGCCATGAAATATAAAGAGATTTGTTAGTAAATTGTAAACCATTAAAGCGCAAGGTCTACATAAAAGGTGGACTTTTCTGCACAACATTTGGACACCAAGGCCTCATTCACACACGACGCAAGAGCAAAATTGTATATTGGGTATATACGCGCATATATAAGAGCGTATATGCGTGCACTATTTGCAATCCCAGAATGCATCATTCCTAATAGAAATTTTAATGAACTGTACGCACAGACGCACGTGTATGCGCGTAAAATACACAGAAATACGCTGCCCGGACGCATCTCGGTTCCATTCTGTTTTTGCGCATTTTTACGCTACGCATATATACGGCTCCATACTAGGTGTATGAAGCCATTTATTTGCATATGGTACTGTACGGGTGTATATGCGTGGCAGTGTGAATGAGGCCTAAGAGATACTACTATACAGAATAATACTATGAAAAACAAAGCAATCCAACAAAATGATAAAAATAAACAATATCATGATTAAAAAGCACATCAATCCCAATAAAGAACTCCTCTTATTTGATGCAGTTTGGTCTAAATGCTTTTGCTATATCTATAAAGCGCAAGAAATTGTCTGTTGATCCTGCATCCATCCAGAAGAAATCTTGCCAGAAATCCAGTGTGCTGATAACTTACTATACACTCTGCCTCTGCTACATGATCATTTGCATATGGTACAATATGCACGTATATGCGCGGCAGTGTGAATGAGGCCTTTAATGAGCAAGGAACATTTCTACAATCCAACCATAAACAAAACAAAACAAAAAAACTTTAAAAAGCTCAGGAGCCAGGTAGGCAATGTTACTAAAAAATACAGTTGGTGCCAAACTTTTGAGGGGTTTTTTTAGTCAAAGAAGCTAGCTCCTAAAAATAAAAAAATAAATGATGCTGGCTCCCCCTGTGTTAGCCATGCATGCTTAGATTTCTCATGTTCAGCCCTACAGTCCTTGGGATTCAGCAGGAACGTAGCTGAAATTAGATCCATGTATGGCTACTAGGGCTGCAACAACTAATCGACATAATCGATTATAATCGATTATTGAAAAAGTTGTCAACTTTTTCAATAAAACCTTAGGACTCTGCTTCTTGGTGAGAACATGAATCTGTTCTAAAGAGCAGAGTTAAATCTGTTCAGTAAACCAGATTGAGACCTGCCCTGAGGCTGGCAAACAAAGTCTTGTGGTAATGTTTGGCAACACGTGACACTCTGTGCTGAGCCATTGATTTAACAGCACCCCAACCCTCCGGTACGGTTGGTTGTAGATGACCCATACTGTAGCACACCACTGCACATGCCATGAATTGTTTTGCATTGCAGGTACGGTTTTTCTGATGTGCTTACTGCTAGTGTCTGTGCTCTGGTAGCCCATTCTAAATGAAGGACAGTCTCAACATTGAATGTTAACACAAAATGCTACATGTTAACAAGTCCACAGTAACACTGCAATAAAATTCTATAGTGTGGGGGCCTAGTGATTAGACTTTGGGGAAAGAATGCCAGCATCATCCATCATCTGAAGGTTTCTTGCACATTATGACACTTTCATTACATACCATGTATTGGGGTGTTATACCTCCCACGCTATTAGTCTCACTGCACCAGTTAATGCACTTACAATTTTTCTAATTGCTTTAATGCAACAAATGGTAATACACCTATGGTGACACACACAAGTTATCCTGCCTGTTTAGGTAGTGTTGACTGACAAAGGGATATTGAAAAAAAAAAAAAAAAAAGAAGAATAAAAGCTGGCCATAAACCTAAAGATTTTCTGCAGATTTTCTATGGTCAGATGGAAAAAGTGCAACAGACTCCTCCACCCACACAGTTTAGCGTAGAGGAATCTTCACTTTTTCCATCCGACCATAGAAAATCTATTAGGTGTATGGCCAGCCTAAGAAATGTATATTGTGGACATGCGACAAGAATATGGTCAACAGTGGATGAAATGCACATATAGGTCTTCACGTGGCTTGCCAAATCCGAGAGATCCAGCCGTTTACTGTACGGTTAGCCCTGTTCTTAGTAGCATGGTCATATGTATACAAGTCTGCTAGCACAGCAGATTCTTCCAAACAACCATATCAATGTGAAGCAGGATGGCAGCCAAGATGTTGGCCTATAGGCCCGTCAAGATTGCTTTCTAGAAGGTTGAATTGACCCTGTGGTATCACATTTCGGTGGGAGGTCAGGTGGAGTGCAAATATGGGGCGGCACTCCTCAAACTCTGGGCAATTGACTAAACAATACTAAGTCAATATCTACACTGACAGAGTCAAAGTGGCAGCTGTTCTTGGGTTCAGCTTTCTCCAGCTTTCCCACAGATGTGGCTCTGAGTGAATGTCTTTAAATAAAGTTTTGGGAGTTTTTTTTTTTTTTCTGAGGCTCCTGCAAGAGACAAAAGGTGAATACATACTGCCCTGCTTTAAATGCTGGGATCAACCCTAGAATTACAAGCCACATTAAGCAATAAAAAAAAGTTATTAAAAAGGTCACATTACGTAACCTCGGAGGCTAACAGATACTGACTGTCATCTGTAAGGCCTTTAGAACCTTGATAACATGTTGAACATAAATTCTCCTGGTTTTGTACTTAACCATTCGTATACATGAACTGAAATTTTTACAATCAATCACTGGATTGTAATGGCATCAAAGTTGTAAAAACAATATAAAAGTGGTAGTACTTACTTCCTTGTGGTCCATAAAACTTCACTATAAATTCATTTAGTCCTCCTAGGATTGTGACTTCATGTTTGCTTTCAATACTAAAAGGATTGAGTTAAGAACTAAAAACTACAAGTTTCAACAAAATTATCGGCGACGTTATACAGCTCTAACAATATATAAGCAAAAGGTGTAAATCACCATAAAACAAAACATAATAATTCTTTAACCAAAACAGAGAGCGTTACTGCTCGTCTACCACAATATGGCACACAGTGGAATGTGGCAACACATACAATGTCCATTTGCATGCCAATGGGGTTGATTTTTTTTTTTTAGATTACTTTTTTCCTTGGGTGGGGGGAGACAGACCAGCAGGCTGTATACAAGTGATCTGGGTGGCTGTACAGCCTCCTAGATCACTTGTACAAAATGGCTTCCCTGCTCTAAATATAAGGG